TGCCAGGCTGGAGTCAGGAAAGACTCGTCTTCCTGAGTTCAAACCTGGCCTCAGACAATTGCTAGCTGTGTGACCCTGGGCAAGTCACTTAACCCTGTTTGCTTCAGTTTCCTCATTTGTAAAATGAGCCAGAGAAGGAAATGGCAAGCCATTACAGTATTGTTGCCAAGAAAACCTCAAATGGGGTCATGAAGAATCAGACATGACTGAAATGACTGAGGGCAGGTACTTTTGGAGCTTGCTTGACTTATGAAATAGTATGGCCGAGAGTTGTGGCCCTTGACATAATCAGAGATGAAAGAAAGGCTGAAAGAAAATGAAAGAATAATCTGGAAAGGAAAGCCCTAAAGGGTTTCCCAAAAGCACATCCCATAATTTGTAGCCTGGGAAATTCACATATACTTTCTCTATTGGTAGAGCTTCTATAATCTGCTCCTTAGCTTCTTACCCCATCCTCGTGAGGCAGCATTGTACTTACTGTCTTTTCAAGCTCCAGGACAAATCTGACAGTCATTTGGGGGCTATTGCTGCCTCTTTTGAAAGGATTCAGTTTTTGTTTATTTTTTATTTTTTGATAGGGTCCTGCCCTGAGAGCAACAGAAAGCTGCTCTCCAAAGCCTGATCCCTGGCAGGAGCTGAGGTGGGGTAGGGTTTTCCAAGGTGTTAGATATGACACCCTTCTGTCAGTGAGATCAGTGGGGTGTCGGTCATTGATTATAGTATTAGGAACATCAGGTCAAATGTTAATCTTAAACCCTGCTACTTTTCTTGCATCTCAATTTCATGACTGACCACTAAATAGTGGGTTCAATAGAGAAACAGTAATGAACTGAATGAAACTTGGGACAATTTTAAAAAATTGATATGTAAAACATGTCTCCTAATGTGTCATTGACTCATGGCAATAAGTGACTCCTAACTATTTAATACAACAAATCTGAAAAATAAATGCATTTTTTCTTTTTAAAAAATCTTTTCTATCTTTATTTCCAAATGTGTCCCCATCTGACTCTTCCACCTGAGCCATTCTTTACAACAAAGAACAAAGAGGTGGGGGAAGTAGTTCTGCAAAGCTAACTCATCAACAGTTTTCTCCAGCTATAGGAACCCCATCTTTCCAATGAAGGGAAGGAAGTGTATTCTCTCATTTGACCACTTCCAGACCATCTTATTGTGCCATCATTTACAGTCATGTCCAACTTCTTCTTGACCGTATTTGGGGTTTCTTGGCAAAGACACTGGGGTGGTTTGCCATTTCCTTCTCCAGCTTGTTTGACAGATGAGGGAAACTGAGGCAAACAGGGTAAGTGACTTGCCCAGGGTCACACAGCTAGGAAGTATGTAAAGCCAGATTTGGACTCAGATCTTCCTGATTACAGGGCCAGTGCTCTGTCCACTGCACCACCTAGCTGCAGTTCTATTCTCATCCTTATTAGCCCCCTACCCTGACCCTCCTTAGAGCCTTAGACTCTACCCTTGGGACACTGAACCTTAATAGTGTATTTTATCGTATTTTGCTTGGAACCAGATCTCCACACCACTTTTCAACCCATCCTCATACCATCTCTTCTCCCCAGCTCCCTTTCTTAACTGTGTGGTCTCCTCTGTTTTCTGTCTTCCCCTATTACAATGCAATCTTCTTTAGGGCAAGGACTGTCTTACTTGTTTTTAAGCAAATAGGTAATAAAGGTTTTATTTTTCTGTCTGTCTGTCTGGAGTTATCATCATTTAAGTTCTTTTCCTTTTATTTTTTTCCATTTATATTGTAGTAGTCACTGCCTATATTGTATATTGTTTTCCTGCATCTGCTTAATTCACTCTGCATTGGTTAATGTCTTTTACAGGCTTCTCTGCATTTTTATTCATTGCTGTGCACCAAATACTCTTATGTTCATTTCTCACTAGTTGCTTAGCCATTCCCCAATCAATGGAACATCAACTTTGTTTCCAGTTTGCATTGCTAAAAATATTTTGGTGTATATGGGACCTTTCTATCTTTGACATCTCAAGGGGTTTTGATTTCCGTCTCCCTGTGTATCTTCTGTGATGCATATACCCAAGAAAGAAATTAATTTTTTTCTTTCTGTGATTTCAAGGGAAATGTATGAAAGTAAAAGGCTGATTTGTATGTAAAGTGTGTACTAAAGCTAGTAAGCATCTTAATGCTCTTATGTAAGAGGTCTTGCATTGAATTTTTACCAGATTCAGATTTGTTCTAATGAGTTTTCCACTTGCTTAAAAATTAATTTGGACATTCTTTTACACTTCACTGGCCATTCCATGTAAATACTTTTGATGCGTTAATTTGCCTAAGGCTACAGTGAGCTTTTGTCTTTCAGTATGAATTTAGTTGGGCCAGTTGGTTTATCCCATGGACAGTACAAAAAAACAATACGTGACAAGCATTTGACCTGACAGATTTGCAGTCATGCAACACAGAAGCTTAAATATGTAAAAGAAAGCAGAATGTGCAATGAGTTTTATTATGGTAAACATATATTTGCTCTACAAATCACCTCCCTTCGCCTCTTCCCTATTTTTCTCCCTATGTGAAGGTAGGTGTTAGGCATCTGCTTGCTTAGCCATTATCTTTAACTGATACCTCATTACCTTCTAGCTTTTTGGAATGGGGGCATGGTAATAATTCAGGCTCCTCCTCTTCCCCCTGAGGCAGCTGATTTCTTTTGTTAATGTGGCAGGATGATTTTGATTCAAAACTGATCTGTACTTTAAAAGGGGATAATTATTTCACTGGTCCCTACATCTTAGCTTAAGAGTGTAGACTACTCCAAGGTATGACCTGAACACCAGGGTATAGAGTTTCAATAAGCTCTTAATGTAATTGTAAAATAATAAAATTACATGTGACATAATGATCAGAGGGAGTGCCTAGGACTTCAACTGAGATCTTTTGTCATGTTCACTCTCCTTAAGCTCTGTCCCTTCATCCTTTGGCTTTGGGGAAAAGAAGAGCTGGAAGAAATGATATGGATACAAACGGTGCCCTAAGGGCTAAAAAGAATATTAAGGGTTGCTTTGGAAATCCTGTAACTTTGAGGGCATCCTAAAGTCTCTTCCCTTTATCTTGAAATACTACAAAACTTCTAAGCTCCTTTATCCTATGTTTCCCCTGTCTCTAATTAACCTGTGTTACTCTGCCCTGTCCTTAAATCTTTAAACTATAAAGAATTCCTTTTGTCTCCCTCATCCTGTCCTGTCTTTAATCTTTAACCTCCATAAAAACCTCTAAAACTACATCATCATTCTGAAACCTCTATATAAGCATAACTCCCCCAAATATTGGGGCTCACTTAGCTTTCTTGCTAAGGAGGCCCATGCTGCTCACATGTTAAATAAAGCTCCCAGATGAATGGCTACAGAGAAGGTCTAAGTGAATTCTTTCATACCTAAACTGTTCTCCCAAATCTGACCTCAGCAGTACCACTCTTCCAGGATTTCCGTAATAATAATAATAAAAGTCATAATAAACAACTAGTACTTACCACTCCAGTATCTTTGCCAAGAAAACCCCATGGACAAATGCATGAGGTTACTAAGAGTTAGACACAACTTGTTATTTTTTTTCCCCCCGAATATAGAATTTCCAGGAATCAGTCATAAGGTTTTATAGGCCTTTGCTCAAAAAAAAAAAATCACAACCATGTAAAAGGCATCATTGCTTATTTCTAGGGATATAAAAACCTAATAGTCTCTACCCCTGGGGTAGGGAACAAATCTGGGGATTTGTTCTGTGAGGTTTGGATTCAGTCACAGGGCTGCACTTGAGGACCTAGAGGCCACAGGTTCCCCACCCTTGCTCTACCTACAAGGAATTTACCTTTTATGAAAGGAAATAATGTGCACAGATAAATCAGTAGAAAATATGTATATGTAATAATAATAGTAGCTAGCATTTATATATCACCTTAAGGTTTACAAAACACAAACATAATATATTGTCTTTACTACACTGGGAAGTAGTGCTATTGTGATCATACCATTTGATGGATGAGGCTACTGAGCTGAGGGGTTAAGTGACTTGCCCCAGGGTTACACAGCCAGTAAGTATCTGCTGTATTTGAACTCAGGTCTTCCTAACTCCTCTTTCAGCACTTTATCAGTTTTACCACCTTGAAGGAAGCTAGGGATTTTAAAATGTAGAAGTAAGTAGAGAGTGCATTCCTGGCAGAGGGGACACAGGGCAACAAATGAGAGGGGAGATGGAATGTCTTTTAGGGAACAATAGTCAGGAGATCAATTTGGTTGGAATGTAGAATGCCTGCCTAAGGGGGAATATTGTGAAATCAATCTGGAAAAATTGGGTTGAGAAAGGTTGTAAAGGATTTTTAAATGCTAATAGAATAGTTGATAGTCAAGCTAGAGGAAATCGGGAGTCACTGAAGTTCCTTCTTTGTTCTTCCTGGAGTAACTGTATGTTCTCTTCATTTCTTTGGAGCTACTCTTAAAACTGCTGCTTTTCTGTCTTCCAAGGGAAGAGCTTCACCCGTAATTATCTAGTTCCAGAGATTCATAGCTTCTAGTATGCCCATCCCTCTCTGAGTTATCAGCTACAGTAGAAATTAAATTTACAAATGAGTACCCAAATGGCTCTTGTAGATCTTAGCACAAAGGCTAGAACCTAGTAAGCACTTAATAAATGTTCATTGATTGATTAAGCTGCATGACATAAAGGGGTCCTCTGACTCAGTAGCCCAGGTTTTCAGCGTAGACCTTGTTTCTCATTGATTTAATTTATTTTTAGAATTGGATCTATACCTTCTGTTTTTACATCACTTTTCTGTCTGAAATAGATAGCTCTCTATTTCCCTAATCAGGGAGCCATCCCTTGAGACAAAGAAACTCCTCATTGGTTTAAAAAAAAAAAGTTACATCAAAAATGTGCTACCCTTTTTCTTCCTGCTTTTAAAGGAAACCCTTGATTTATAGTTGATAATTTGGTGTTTTTACAAATTTTAATCCATGTTATTTTTCTTTTTAAGGGGATGGCATTTCCTGTGGACATGCTGAATAACTGTAGTCATGAAGAATTAGAAAGTTCTGCAGAAGATTACTTGTTAGATCTCAGGTGTGGGGACCCAGAGAACCCAGAACATTTTCCTTTTCTCAATAATCTGGTAAGGTGTTCTAGTCCTGGTTTTTATTTAATAATGAGTGAATTTAGAAGTGAAACTATATTTCCAAGGAGTGCTAGATTGTTTAATTTACAATTTTCAAATGCTAATTGTAAGTCTTTGATACTTTAACCAGAAGTTTGAGTTATAAGATTGATGGTTTTAAAAAGAAAGCAGACTCAACTTTTGAATTTTGGGTATTTAAAAAAATACATATGTTCATAATTTTTTAAAAGAGCTTACGTCATTAGAAAAACAAAACAAAGTTGTAATTTAGTATGTGACATTGTGTGATAACAGCTTCAGTGGACAGGGTGCTGGGCCTAGAATTGCAAAGATTCATCTTTCGAAATTCAAATTCAGCCTCAGGAGTTCCTGGACTTCTGGGAGCCAAGATGGCAGAGTAAGAAGTAAGTTGCTCTCACCCTCCCTTATTGACCTCTGAAAACCCAGAAATGTTCACCCCAGGAAAAACCCTGGAACAGCTGAGCCAGCAGAAAGATGGGGTACAAGAGTCTTGTAGTCCAGGAAGCTTGGGGGATTAATGGGAAAGGCCTCTCTCCCTCTGAGGGAGGGGGGGAGCAGTACAGGACAGCTAGCATCCCAGCAAACCTGTGGCAAGCCCCCCTCAGCAAACCAGGGGGAGATCCTGAGCCCCAAAGTGGTGAATCAGGAAAAAGCCAACATTAGGACTCCCCCCCCCCTCCCCCGCCCCGGCCTCTGCACAGGCAGGGGAACTAGTAAACACCAGCTTGCAAAACCACCACGTGCGCCAGCATTCTCCTGCAGCCAAATCTTCTAGTACCTCAGCACAACTCCAGGCTGGCAGATGTCCTCCAGCCCCTAAACATTCAAGTACTTTAAAGAAGCCAGGGTAAGCAGGCACCCTCCAGGGGCCAGACTTTCTACCCCCACCCTGAGAGCTTCAGTGCTGCTGATTCCAGTTTGGCACCAGGTAAGCTGCCAGACACTTACAGCCTTCAGCTGCCAGCACCCAAGGCCCCAGCACACAATGCCAGTGAGCAGGTTCTGGGCTCCCAGCACAAGCAGCTTGGGTCAGTGCCCCCTACACTGGCAGCAGAAGAGCTCAACTTTAAAAGCCAGGAAATAGGCAAACACCATGAGCAGAAAGCAGAAATACGATGACAGTAGAATCTTATTATTGGGACAGGGAAGATCAAGCCACAAGTTCAGAAGAGGACAACATTGTCAGTATACCCACATTCAAAACCTCAGAGGGGAATATGAACTAATCTCAAGCCCAAAAAGCCTTCTTGAAAGAGCTCAAGAAGGAGTTTAAAAGTGAAATAAGAGAGGTACAAAAAAAAACTGGGAAAGGAAATGAAAGGTATGCAAGAGAGAGTCAACAGCTTGAAAAAAGGACAAAAATTGACTAGAAAACAAGTCCTTAAAAAATGCATTTGGCCAAATAGAGGGAAAAAAATACATTGAAGAAAAGAAGTCTTTCAAAAATACAATTGGCCAAATGAAAAAAAGTACACTGAAGAAATCAACTTGTTAAAAAGTAGAATTGGCCAAATGGAAAAGGAGGCACAAAAACTCACTGAAGAGAACTCCTTAAAAAGTAAAATGGGCCAAATGGAAAAGGTGGTAGAAAATCTAATAAAGGGAAACAATTCTTTAAAAATTAGAATTGGGCAAATGGAAGCTAAAGACTCTATGAGATATCAGGAATCAGTCAAATAGAAACAAAAGAATGAAAAAATAGAAGAAAACGTAAAATAGCTCATTGGTAAAACAACTGACTTGAAAAATAGATCTAAGAGAGACAATTTAAAAATTATTGGTCTATCTGAAAACCATGGTGAAAAAAAGAGCCTGGATAGCATTTTTCAGGTAATCATCAAGGAAAACTGCCCTAAAGTCCTAGAACCAGAAGGTAAAATAGTCTTTGAAAGAATCCACTGATCACCTCCTGAAAGAGATCCCAAATTGAAAACAGCAAGAAATATTGTAGCCAAATTCCAAAATTACTAGGTCAAAGAGAAAATACTATAAGTGGCCAGAAAGAAAAAATTTAAATATCCTGGAACCACAGTCAGGATTACATAGGACCTTGCAGCTTCTACATTAAAAGATCAAAGGGTGTTGAATACAATATTCCATGAGGCAAAGAAACTTGGATTACAACCAAGGATCAACTGCTTGGTGAAATTGAGCACAATCTTTCAGAGGAGGAGATGGACATTCAATTAAATAGGGGACTTCTAAACCTTCCTGATGCCAAGACCAGAGCTCAACAAAAAATTTGATCTTCAGATACAAGACTCAAGAGAGACATAAAAAGGTAAACAGGACAGAAAAAAAACATGTTATTTATAAAGGCAAAGTGTTTACATCCCTACAAGGGAAAATGATACTTGTGTAATGCCTGAGAACTATGTTGTTATTATACCGTTTTAAGGGGTTATATGTATAGACAGAGGGGGGCGGGTTTAAGTTGACTTTGATGTGATGATAGAAATCTTAAGTAGTGAAATGTGATTGTTCTGGGAGAAGAGGAAAGGAGGAGACAGAAAAGGGTAAATTACATCACATGAAAAGGCACAAAAACCTGTTGCAGTAGAGAAAGAAGGGAGGGAGGTGAGCATTGTTTGAACCTTACTGTCATCAGATTTGGGTCAAAGAGGGAATAACAATCAGTTAGGTATAGAAATCTAACTTACCCTATAGGAATTAGGAGGGGAAAGGGGAAAGAAAAGGGAAGGGATGGATAGAAGGAAGAGTAGACTGAGGGAGGGGGTGGTTAAAAGCAAATCTCTACTGAGGAGGGAAAGGGAGAAAGGAGGAAGAAAAGCATAAAAGGGGGGAAAATAGGATGGAGAGAAAGACACTGATAGTAATTATAACTGTGAATGTGAATGGGATGAACTCTCCCATAAAATGGAAGTGGATAGCAGAGTGGATTAAGAATAATAATCCTACAATATGTTGTTTAAAAACCTGGAAAGATTTATACAAACTGAAATGAATACAAAATGAAGTGAGCAGAACCAGGAGAACATTGTACACAGTAATAGTCACATAGTGCAGTGACTGACTTTGATAGACTTAGCTCTTCTCAGCAATTCAGGGATCTTAGACAACTCCAAAAGACTCAAGATGGAAAATACTATACATATGCAGAGAAAGAACTTTGGAGTCTGAATGCAGATGGAAGCATACGATTTGCTCTCCTTTTCTTTTGTTGTTTGGTTTTGTTTCTTCTTTCTCATGGTTCCTCCCATTAGTTCTAATTCATCTTTACATCATGATTAATGTGAAAATATGTTTAATATGAATATATAAGTAGAGCCTATATCAAATTGCACACCACCTTGGGGAGGGAGAAGGAGGGGAAAACATTTAAAACTCATAATCTTATGGAAGTGAATTAAAAATAAATTATTATTTTTTAAAAAATCTAGTCTCAGATACTTACTGGGTATATGATCTAAGGCAAGTCACTTAACCCTGTTTGCCTCAGTTTTCTCATCTGTGAAATGATCTGGAGAAGGAAATAGTAAACCACTCCAATTATCTTTGCCAAGAAAATTGCCAAATGGGGTCATGGAGAGTCAGATACAACTGAAAAAAAAATGACTGAACTAAATGTACCAGGCGTAACAACAATGTATGATAAAGTGGGGAGAAAAAAAAATTGAGAAACCAGGTCTCTGATACCAAGTGGGGTCAAGAGGAGTCAGACACGACTGAAAAAAGGACTGAACTGAATGTACCAGGCATAAAAACAATGTGTAATAAAGTCGGAGGGGAGGGGGGGAAGAACCAAAAATTGGTAGACCAGGTCTCTAGTGCCAGATTTCCTACTATCTGTGTAAATCTGAGCAGTTCCTTTAACCTCTCTAACCTAGGCTCCAGACTGAGCTATCTCTAAAGTCCCTGCCAGCTGGTAGTATACTGGGGAATAAAATATGTACATATGACATACTTTTAAATTTAATGTGCTTCATTAACATTTTCTCCCGTCACTTAAATCTAGACAATCAACAAAATAATAAATCAAGCCCTGTCTTATAGTTTGCTGATTTCTGGAAATCTAACAGCCCCTGATTCCAGCACATACCTATTTCTATGAAAATATGATATGGGGACAGGGCCATCGACTAGTAGAAGTGCTTCTAGAGGAAAGTAGCCAGAAAGGGGGTACAGCGGAGGGAGACCCAATTGGCAAATAGTTAGACTATGCCACATAAGGATGTGAGCCTGCCACCATGATGGTCTTTGGTCTAAGAGAGACAGCCAAATGACCGTCCTTTTATTCATAAATGTGCTAGCCTTATTAATAAGTGATTAAATTACCCAGAAGCTATGTCTCTTGAACCTTTTTTATCACCACATAGTCATGAAGCATTTTATATGCCTTAGCTCATTTGATCCTTATAGGATCCTTCAAAGTAGGCAGGAGGGGTATTTTGAAACAAATCTCAGAAAAGTTAAGTGACTTGGCCACTGGATGCAGCAAAGAGGGGACTTGCTCAGGCCTTTTGACGTCTAGCCCTGTGCTGTTTCCATAAACTAAGAGTAGACTCAGTGGGAACATCAGTCAAATCAGTCAACATTTATTAAGTGTCTACTGTGTGCCAAGCAGTATGCAGAGAGCTGGGGATACAAATACAAATAACAACCAAGTCCTGCCCTCAAGGAGCTTACAATCTAAAGGAAGGAAACGGAAAAGAATGGGAGGAGGAAGAGTGTGTGTGTGTGTGTGTGTGTGTGTGTGTGTGTTGGTTGGTGGGGAGGGAGACTTCTTGGAGAGTTCCAGAGAAGTCCAAAATTATTCCAGTGGGAAATGAATAGAGAAACTGTGTTGAGCCCTTCCTTGTTAAATAGAAGCCCTGGGGCCCAGGGACATCTTAGTCTTTACATACCTGAGGGGTTGACTCATAGAGAAAACTTCTTTTTCTTGACTCTATAGAGCAAAAAGGGGCATACTTTTTTGAAGAGAGATTTTGAACAAGGCATAGAAAAACTTCCTGACAATTTAGAATGGCCAAAGTGGATTGGCTACCTTAGGGAATGGAGGCCCTTGTCCCAGGAGGCTCAAGGTAGAGGTTGGGTGATTGCTGGTCAGGGATGTTACAGAGGGAAGGGACCCAAGCTTCATCTGGTGATGTTTGATGAACTCTAAGGGTGTGCTTCAATGATTGGAATCCTCTGGTAGTATTTTGTGTGACTTGGGGAATTCCTCTTTGGATAAGGGAAAGAGATGCCAAGCTGATAAACAGTACTCATTATGCTGGAAAAAGAGCATTCGTTTATTTAACCATATTATTGATTTAAAAAAATCCTTCCTTTCTGTCCCTCATTTCTTTTTGGGGTATAATTAGTGACAAAGTATGATTTCTTATGAAATGCTTTGCTTCTTATAAACTCTCTCCCTAATTAGACTATGCCACATAAGAATGTGAGCCTACCACCATGATGGTCTTTGGTCTAAGAGAGACAGCCAAATGACCATCCTTTTATTCATAAATGTGCTAGCCTTATTAATAAGTGATTAAATTACCCAGAAGCTATGTCTCTTGAACCTTTTTTATCGCCACATAGTCATGAAGCATTTTACATGCCTTAGCTCATTTGATCCTTATAGGGTCCTTCAAAGTAGGCAGGAGGGGTATTTTGAAACAAATCTCAGAAAAGTTAGTGACAAAGTATGATTTCTTATGAAATGCTTTGCTTCTTATAAACTCTCTCCCTAATTAGACTATGCCACATAAGGATGTGAGCCTACCACCATGATGGTGACCTTGTATAATTGGAATGAATGTGACAAAAATGGTTACTTTCATTAAAATCGAGTAGCTAGCCTCTTTGTAATAATAGCATTTTATGTAGTTTCTTTAAAGTTTACAAAGCACTTTACCAGTGTTAAGTTATTTGATTCTACTTGTAAGGTAGGTGCTATTATAATCCCCATTTTGCACATGAGGAAACTGAGGCAGATAGAAGTTAAGTCACTTGCCCATGGTTACCTAGTTAGTAGCCAAGGCAGGATTTGAACTGAGGCCTCCAAGTTTTCTTCACTGTATCTGCTGTGCCCCCTACCTGCCTGATCACAAACAGATGTTCACAGATACAGTAAATGTAGCTAGCATTGTGACTTCTGTGTGGTTTTGTTGCATTTTCCCGTTAGCTCCTCACAATAAACCATTCTTATTTCTTTCAGATTCCAATCAGCCTGTCAACTGTTGGCTTCATCCCTCTTTATGGTGGTGACCAGACCCACAAAGTTCTTGCTCTTTTTGCACCGGAGGACTCACTCACAGGTATATTTCTTGTTTGTTTTTTATAAACTAGTAGGTTTTCCTCCATACTTTTAGAAACATTTAAAACGACTTACATATACTTTTGTAACAGTGTATTTTTAACTATAATTCCTCAAGGCCTGATTTTAGAGAAACCCTCACTTGCCTCCTATTCCTTTTTTGGTTGCTTCCTTATCCATTGCCCCAGGGTGTGAAATTATTTTCCTAACTGAGCAGAGCTGGCCAAGATGGCTTCATTTTGCCAAGTGTTAGAACGAGCCCGATTTAAAGATATTGACTAAAATTCCAAAGAAAATATTTACAGAACTGTTGTTTGATTTTGGGGTTTCTTTACTGACCTTATAAACATTTAAAAAGCTCTTCTACTAAGTAGCGACAGTAATACAATAAATAGCGCCTTGGATTTAATTATTAATAGTACTCTCTTCCCTCCTTCCTTTGTGATCTGTTTCCTCTGAAGCTGTGGCTCTGTACCTTGCTGATCAGTGGTGGGATGTTGATGATATTGTGAAAACATCAATCCCTTCTAGAGAAGGGCTTCAGCAGGTAATGAGATTTTGACGTTTTCTACTTACGTTGCTTTATTAAGACCTTTTCTCCTAATACAGTGTTTTGATGTCGACTAACTATCGTCCGTGGCATTTATCTGCTGTACTCTGCGCAATCTGAATAGAATCTTAGGAGATCTTTCCTTCCAAAGAATTGAAGACCGCCTCCTGGAAACTGAAAACCATTGTGCCTTATTTTGCCCTCTGGTCCCAGGCGGAGCATGTCCACCCCTTCTTGTGACTGCCTGTCAAATATTTGAAAATAACTGCCATGTGTCATCCCCTTCCCCACTTCTCTCCCACCCCCATCCCTCCTCCTCACCAAGGGCATGATATTCACTCTCTTGATTCTCCCCTTCTGGTTGCTCTTAACTTATTAAATGTCCATTCTGTGTGACATTTTATCTCCTGTCTTCTTTCCTTTATTTTTTAAAAATTAAATTTATTTTCAGTTAACAAGTATTTATTTTCCTCCCCATACTCCCCGTTATGAATTGAAGGAAAAGGAAGAAACCTCATTATCGATTTGCCTAGTTAAGCAAAGCAGATTCCAACCATTTTGTTGCTGTGTTAGGGGCAGCTAGGTGGTACAGTGGATAGAGTGCTTGGCCTGTACTAGGCTGGCAGTCAGGAACACTCTTCTTTCTGAGTTCAAATCTGGCCTCAGACACATACAAGCTGTGTGACCCTTGGCAAGTCACTTAATCCTGTTGGCCTCAGTTTCCTCATCTATAAAATGAACTGGAGAAGGAACTAGCCAAACACTCCAGTGTCTCTGCCAAGAAAACCCCATATGGAGTCGTGAAGAGTCTGATATGATTGAAAACAGCTCAACAACAAAAACTCAATCAAAGCAGATTGCAACCATAGCTATGTCCAAAGATGTATTTCTCTTTTTTTTTTTGAGGCATTTGGGGTTGAGTGACTTGCCCAGGGTCATACCCCTAATAAGTGTCCAAGGCCACATTTGAACTCGGGTCCTCCTGACCTGTAGGGCTGGTTCTCCATCCACTGTATCACCTAGCTGCCCCAAAGTACCTCTCATTCTGCGTCTTTAAAATATCACCTCGCTGTCAGGAAATGGTTAGAATGCTTTATCTCCAGTACTCTGGAATTGTGGTTGACTATTACATTGATCAGAGTTCTTTAGTCTTTCAAGGTCATTTTTTTTTTTGTGAGGCAGCTGGGGTTAAGTGACTTACCCAGAGTCACACAGCTAGTTAAGTAGTATGTGTCTGAGGTCAGATTTGAACTCAGGTCCTCCTGACTCTAGGGCTGGTGCTCTTATCTTCTGTGCCACCTACCTGTCCCTCAAAGTCATTTCTGAATGATGTTGGTATTGTATACATTTTTTTGTTTCTGCTCACTTCAGTCTTGCAAATCTTCTCAGCTTTCCCTGCAACCATCTGTTTCGTTGCTTATTATGGTGCAGTAATGTTCCATTACATTAATATGCCATAAGTTGCTTAGCTATTCCCCTGGGTACTCCCTTAGTCCTCTGCCTTGATTTTGTTGTTGTTGTTGTTGTTTGCTACTACAGAAAGACATTTTTGTCCATGTGAATCTATTTCTAATTTGATCTCTTTGGAGTATAGACCTAGAGGCTATATTACTGAGTCAAAGAATATGTACAATTTAATGACTTTGGGGGCATAGTTTTAAATGGCTTTCTAGAAGGGCTAAATAAATGGAAAGCTCTAGCAACAGTGTATTAATGTTTCCGTTTTCCCTCAGAGCCTTCAATAGTTTGTCATTTTCCTTTTTTGTTAATCTGAGGGTATGAAGCGGAACCTGTAATTTGCATTTTTCTAATTATTAGTAGTTTGCATTTTTTTCATATGGTTTTGATAGCTTGGATTTCTCTTAGAAAACTTCACACCTTTCCTATCATGCCTTTGTATAAGTGGTTCTCTCATGTAGAAGAAAACAGTCTACATGTATTTTAGCCAAATGTGTCAAAGACATTATTTATTTATTTAGAGAAAAGGTTTTACTAAATCAGAAGGAAAAAAAAATTCCTTCCCTCACCCCCACAAGGTAGTTCCCAAATCACATTTTATAACAATTGAGACGCAAAAGGTGAAACTTCACAAAAATTGTAAAGCAAAAGTACAGTTTTCTTTAGTTTTGAAAATGACTAAACAAAGAGATCAGGGTTGCTGTCTGCACCCCTTTGGAGAAGATGTCATGCCAAAATGGATTCATTTAATCCTTGTACATGTTATATATGTGTCCATCCCCCTCTATTGCCACCTCCAAATAAAATGAAAGCTTCTGGAGGGCCAGGACTGTTTTAGTTTTGTCTTTGTTTACCCCAGCGCTTAGCAGCATAGGGTGTGCTTAAGCACATCTCTGCTTAATAACCTTTGAATTAAATTTTGCATCTTTGATAAGCATGCCATCTATGTTGTTGTTAATAAAAATGTTAAATAGCAAACTAGGTGGCACAGTGCAGAAGCCTGGAATCAAGAGGACCTGAGTTCAAATCCAGCTTCAGACACTTACTAGCTGTGTGACCCTGGGCAAGTCGCTTAACTCTGTCTGCCTCAGTTTCTTCATCTGTAAAATGAGCTGGAGAAGAAAATGACAACCCCCTCCAGTATCTTTGTCAAGAAAACCCCAAATAGCATCACAAAGAGTTGGACCCAACTAATTGACTAAATAACAACCATGGGTACACTACGTAGACAGCATTTTCCTGATCTGTCAGTGTAGTGTCCCCATCAAAAAACAAAAGATGAGATTGGTGCAGGATAGCCTATTCTTTTTTTTTTAAGGCAGTTGGGGTTAAGTGACTTGCCCAGAGTCACACAGCTAGTAAGTGTCAAATCTTTGGTCTGAGGGTGGATTTGAACTCAGGTCCTCCTGACTTAAGGGCCGGTACTCTATCCACTGCCCCACCTATCTGCCCTGGATAGCCTGTTCTTGATGAAGTCCTACTAGTTTGCTCTTTATTACCCCTCACTCCCTTGTCTAAATATTCTTAAACCATCTCTAACATGTTACGTAATGTTGCCCGGAATTGAAGTGAATCTCTCTGGCCTCTAGTTTGTACCCTTCACTCTTGACAGTTTTTTGAAAATGAAGACAGCATTCCTCCCTCTCCAGTTCAGGGGAATCTCCTCTTCCATTTGTTTTAAAAGTCACAGATGGCGTCTTAGCCAATCACACCTGCCAGATCTTTTAGTACTCTGGTAAAGTAGTATGTCTGGACCTGGTAATTAGATCCAAGGGCAGCAAGATGTACTCCGTCTCATCAACCATCACTTCCATAAGCTTTTGAGTTTTAAATTTTTCTCCCTCTCCCTCCCCACCTCCCTGCCCAAGATGGCATGCAGTCTGATATAGGCTATACATATACATTCCTATTAAAGGAGAAATACTTTCTCCTATTAAAGGAGAAATACTTTCTCATTAGTAATGTTGTAAGTAAGAATTAGAACCAATAGGAGGAACCATCAGAAAGAGGAAACAAAACACAATAGAAGGGAAAAAAATAGCAAATAGTATGCTTTGGTCTGCATTCGAACTCCATAGTTCTTTCTTCGGATGTAGATAGCATTTTCCATCATGAGGTCTTTGGGGATGGCTTAGATCCTTGTGTTGTTGAGAAGGGTTAAGTTTATCAATATTAGTTATCACACAATGTGGTTGTTACTGTGTACACCGTTCTCCTGGTTCTGCTCACTTCACTCAGCATCAGACCATACAAGTCTTGCCAGGTTTTTCTGAAGTCTGCCTGCTCATATTTCTTATAGCACAATAGTATTCCATTATATTCATATACCACAATTTGATCAGCCATTTCCCAATTGATGGGCATCCTCTCAATTTCCAATTCTTTGCCACCACAAAAAGAGCTGCTATGAATATTTTTGTACATGTGGGTCTTTTCGCATTTGTATGATCTCTTTGGGATACAGCCCTAGAAGTGCTATTGCTGGGTCAAAGGGTATGCACATTTTTATAGCCCTTTGGGCATAGTTCCAAATTGCTCTCCAAAATGATCATTTTACAACTCCACCAACAATGCACTAGTGTTCCATCATTTTCCTGTTTTGTCATCTGATAGGTGTTGTTTTGGCTTGCATTTCATTTACATTTCTCTAATCAATGGTGATTTAGAGCATTTTTTTAATGTGACTATAGATGGCTTTAATTTCTTCATCTGAGAACTGCCTGTTCATATCCTTTGACCATTTATCTACTGGGCAAGAGATGTACACTTATTGTATTCTTACTTATCTTGGCTTTCAAATCAAGCCTGACATATTAAAAGAGTTCTGGACCTAGAGTTAAAAACCTGGGTCCATTAGGCACCTTAGCCACTTCATAAGCATGGGACACTGTCAGGAGGAATATTCTCCAAATGAAAGAGGAATTTCAAACTATACTATCTATCTTTCCATTGCATTTAGGAGATTATCATTCTCCCTAATAGCCTGGAGTCATGATGATTCTTTAAACTGTTTTACCCTGATTCTTTAAACTGTTTTACCCTCTTTTCATTTGTTTTTGTTTTTTTAAAGCTATCATACTGAGTCATTTTACAGGGAAGAAGTATGTCACAAGTACATATCACTAAATATTGTATACCTACCTGCTCTTAGACATTTCCTCTAAGTCTGTCCCATTTTCCTGCCTCTCACTTTTCTTTTATTTCCTTAAAAGGTGCCCAATCCTCTTATTTTCTCTTTCAGCTTATGCACTCAGGCTCAGGAGAAAGTGAAAGTCTAATAAAGAAGGGCTGCTCTTGATGGGAAGGGGTTTGGAGTAGTCCAATACAGAAGGGAGGAAGTTTAAGGTGGCCTTGGGTCAGAGCTATTTGTAGTTGTAGCCCTTAGGAGGCTGTGGACAATTTATAGTCATCTTTAACAGTTTAAGAGAAACATGGCTCCTGGGTATAAATTGATAATACAACCATGGTCCCAGGAATGAGAGGAGTATCTGGTGGAATGGGGACATTGCTTGTAGGACAGGGAATGTCACTTTCTGAGTTGGGAGGTCTTGTGATCTTGTATTTATTAAGCACCTGCTGTGTGCTGTACATACAAGTACAGAGAATGAAAGAATCCCTGTTTGCAAAGCACTTACATTCTAATGGGGAAGAGGGTTTTTAAATGTCATTTTATTAGGGTAGGTAACTTTATCCATTTATTCTTTACACTTTATCCATTTGCCTGTCAGCCAGTATTTCTAAAGAAATCTCTTGTCCTCTGAAGAAAGTTGAGCCAGATTATTTGGACATAGCCATTTGGCATGTCTGTAGGAAATGATGGTAACATATGGAGCAAAGCACACCATCTAGACATGGATTAGATGTTTGTTACATGGTATGTGTTGACAAGTAATACAAGGTCTGCTTGTTTAAAAAGTGTGTGCTACCCAGCTGCCATCCATGGTGCCACCTTCATCTAAACTGAAATTCCTACTGTTAGAACCACTTCTTTGAATCAGATGTTAAGGGTGGTAGTAATGGCCTCTTAAGGCCATTGTGTTGTAAATGGGGAGGACAAGCAACCTTACCTGTTCACAGTAGCATTTATGCTGACATGAATTAATTTGTAATGAGTTCTCACTTTGGTAAGACCGCAGAGATCATGCCTTTATGGGATGGCACACACAATTTTTGTTTGAATATGGGGCTTGGAGCAGGGGTGGAAAAGATTTGAGAGCATTAAGGACAGCTAATGTAGGGACAACCAGGGAGGCAGATGAAGACCTGAGCTACTAAAGAGGAAGGTGAACGTACTTAAGACAAATTTTTTTCTTGAATCAACTCTTTTAATGTGACTGGTGTCTATCAGTCTGTTAAAATAGGTGTTATTTAGAATGTATGGATGGATAATGTATTTGTATTTAGTGAAATATAATGAATATTAAAACAAAAAGTTGTTAATGTCTTTTTTGAAATATATCATAATCATTTTTTAGATAGGTCTTCCCAACATCATCCCTTGGAATTTAACCCTTCCTTCTAACAGAAAAAGATTTAGCAACTGACATATTGACCACACCTGACGATGTATGTAACATTCATTGTGGGCCCTTATTTAATTTATTAGAACTGATGTGAATTCCAAGGAGTAGGAGCCAGGAGTAAAGTGAGTAGCAACACTCTTGATCTAACTGTTAGAATTGACTCTTCCCTTTAGGTGAGCACTCTTGGGGAGAGAGTGGTGCTGTATGTTTTGAATCGAATTATTTATAGAAAACGGGAAATGGAAAGAAATGAGGTTCCCTTTCTATGCCATAGCAGTACGGATTATGCTAAAATCTTGTGGAAGAAAGGTGAAGCCATTGGATTTTATTCAGTTAAACCTACAGGTGAGTGTTTTAAAGTATATTGTTTATGTCTACCAAAGCAGATTGTTCTATTAATACAAATGTGTTATTAAATTATTCAGTTGGATTCTAAGTAGAGTTATTTTATTTAGTACTTGTTAAGGGAATATTATTATTTTTTTGTTTTGTTTTGTTTTTTACTAATCCACAGAACTGAGAATAAGGAATCTTTCTTTCATCAGCAAGTTTTTAAAAAGTATTGTATTTTAAGCTCATTTAGTTTGTTGCTCACTTTCTGAATTTCAATTAGGAACAATATCAACAGTATTTAGGTAGAATTCCACAACCTGTTAATGGAAACTTTTTTCCTACTCTATATTCCCATTCTTAAAAATTGTAAGCCATATATACCAAATATTTGCTTCATTTTGGAACAAAAGCAAATGGAGTTGAATGAGGGAATACACAGGTTATTTTTGGAACACGCTATTGGTCGGTAAGGTAAATATTTTCTATACTTGTGTTTTTGTTGTAACAGTTTTACACGGTAGAAGATATTCATTAAGTACTTTATCATGTGTTTCAAAATGTCTCAGTTTTGGTGATAAGTTTAGACAAATGCTTTGTGTTCTATTGCTGTAGAGCAATTCCCATGGGAATTGAAAGGTTGATTGTGTTAGAAGGCACTGACTTTTTAGCAAAGGAAATACACCAAACTTAAAAAGTAACGAGTCCAAGGCTCTACTCTGGGTTCAAGTCTCTCTGTTCATTGTCTCAGAATAAAAAAAAGCACATCTTTTCTAGTTAATCATGGGAATTATTTTCTCCTTACAGTTTCTTTATTCATTAGCCCCAAGGATTAGTAGAACTTCAGTCTCCAATTTTCTTTTGTCCCCATCAGTTTCTTAGTCCTCTCTCTCCATGGGCTTCTCATTGCCACTATTCCTGTCTTTTTCTGTTCCTGCCTCCTTTCATGAAAACACCTTGTTTCCTACTATCTGTTACAACTCTTGTTCTATCAACTTTGGATATTGTCTCCTAACTCACTTTGGATAGAACTTTGTCTGTGGGTTGAGAACTACTTTGTAGCCATATTCCCGTCATGTACCTAAACTGTTTGTTAATTCTGGCAGGATATGCCCTTTAGTAAAGAAAGTCCAATATATTAATCACTATTTAGCAAAAGTGCCAAACAGCCTTTGAGCCACAATTGATTACTTTGCTCAGTTTTCTGATTCTTTGGGTTAAATTAAAAACAACATTGTTTTGATTGTATTTAATAAACTTATATGAAATGTATATTTTTTGCCTTAAACTGGTGAAAAAAAATAGTGATAAATTGGTTTCCATTGTCATGATTGCAGGAAGCATGTGTACCTCCTATCTTACTCAAAGTTATCAGCTTCCCGTGCTTGACACAATATTTGTAAGAAAGAAATATCGTGGAAAAGATTTGGGGCTACTGATGCTGGAAGACTTTGTTGATTCCTTTACAGAAGACAAACTTGGTTTACGTTTTCCATTGTCTTCTTTTATGCATACAGGTAAATGAATTTTAAGTTGTGTTCTGGAAGTTTTTATACACTAAAATCATTTCTTAATCTCAACTTTTTAACATTTAGAATTTAAATTTCTCCCAAAAGGTATATTATAACGCCCTAGATTCTTTGGAAAGTCAAAGCTTAATTTATTTCCCTAGCATATCATTATCATATTTTAAAACAGCCTTTTAGAGTTCACTGTTATTCTACGAAGATAAATTTATAAAGCAAGGTTTATAAAAATGAGACATTTTGTTATTGACTTCTGAAAGCATTTTTCTCCTAAGGCAGTCCATCTGTTTGCTATTAGAAAGGACCCAGGCACTACTTTGGCTGGCAGCAGAGGGATCAAGTGTGGAATGCCCATCCCAAACTCTTTGTTACCTTTGGGATGGCATCTGGAGCTCGGGTGGGTGACAGATGCTCTAAACTTCTTCCTAGAGTGATTCAACCCACCTCTCCCACAGTGTCTGAGTATTTGGGAGAGAATTCTGTGCCCTTCTCACCATCCCCCAACCCCTGCCTTCTCACTCAGCCCCTAATCATCTTAATCTTGATTCCTTCTAAGAGTGTAATCCTAATAGGTAATGAATCATAAGTTGAATAAAGTTGGTTTATAAGCTGCTATCTTTTTATTTTCTAATAATATTTTACTTTTTCCCAATTGCATGTAAAAACAATTTTTAATATTTGTTTTTTAAAAATTAGAGTTCCAAATTCTCTCTTTCCCTGAGATGGTAAGCAATTTGATATAGGTTATACATGTGCAGTCATGCTAAACACGGACCAAAAAAAACCAACTCTGAGGTATCAGATTGGCCAATGTTACAAAACAGGAAAATGATAAATGTTGGAGAAGATGTGGGAAAATTGGAACACTAATGCATTTTTAGTGGAGTTGTGAAATGATTCAGCCATTTTGAAGAACAATTTGGAACTATGCCCAAAGGGCTATAAAATGTGCATACCCTTTGACCCAGCAATAACACTTGTAGGGCTATATCCCAAAGAGATCATACAAATGGGAAAAGGGCCCATGTGTACAAAAATATTCATAGCAGCTCCTTTTGTGGTGGCAAAGAATTGGAAATGGAGAGGATGCCCATCAACTGGGGAATGGCTGAGAAAGTTGTGGTATATGAATGTAATGGAATACTATTGTGCTATAAGAAATGATGAGCAGGCAGACTTCAGAAAAACCTGGAAAGACTTGTATGGTCTGATGCTGAGTGAAGTGAGCAGAACCAAGAGAATGTTGTACACAAAAACAGCCACGTTGTGCAATGACTAATATTGATAAACTTAACTCTTCCCAGCAATTCAAGGATCTAAGGCATCTGCAGAGGCCTCATGATGGAAAATGCTATCCACATCCAAAGAAAGAACTAAGAAAGTTGAATTGCTATTTTTTTCTCTTCTGTTGAGTTTTGTTTCCTCTTTCTGTTGCTTCCTCCTGTTGGTTTTAATTTTTACTTACAACACCACTAATGTGAAAATATGTTTAATAGGAATGTAAATGTATAGCCTATATGGCATTGTGCGCTGTCTTGGGGAGGGTGATGGGGATGAAGGGGGAAAAATTTTAAACTCAAAAGCATATGGAAGTGATTTTTAATAAATCAAAATAAATTAATAAAATTTTTTTTAAAGGCTTGGAAAGGTCAAGTCAACAAGGAAAAAAAAGTGATTTAGAGCACTTTTTCATATGACTATAAATAGTTTTGCTTTCTTTATCAGAACTTTTTCATCAACCACCTGTTCTTAGCCTTTGACCATTTATAATTAGGGAATGACTTGTATTCTTGTAAATTTGACTTAGTTCTCTATATATTTGAAAAACAAGGCCTTTATCAGATACTTGCTGTAAAAACTTTCCTCCCATTTTAATGTTTTCCTTCTAATCTTAGTTGCATTGATTTTGTTTGTACAAAACCTTTTTAATTCCATACAATCAAAATTATCCATTTTACATCTCATAATGCTCCCTATCTCTTGTTTGGTCATAAACCCTTCCCTTATCTGTAGGTCTGACAGGTTAAACTATTCCATTCTCCCCTGATTTGCCCATGGTATCTTCCTTTGTGTCTAAATCACATACTCACTTTGACCTTATCTTGCCATATGGTATGAGATACAAAAGCAGGACAAAGAATAGAACAGGGTAGGTGGGGAAATTATACAATTGGCTATAGACTTGAGGACAACATAACTGGTTACATAGCTGAAGCATGGTGAACAATATGATTGGTTGGGAATGAGGGGCTAGCAACAGCCCATTGCTTTCCTCCTGTGACTAAGAAGTGTTCATTATTTGAGTTTACCTGCAAGCTTAAAGATAGTAAACTAGACTCCTTTGGATAGTAAACAAGATATCCTTGAAGGATAGCTTGGTGATAGCTTGGTGGTATAAAGATACTAGATTAGAGTCCCTGATATCCACCTGAACTCCCCCAGGATAGCAGATTTCCTTGAGGCAAGAATAGAACATGATTAGCAAGAGAACTGGATTTTTAAACTTAAGTCATTACAGATTAGCTGAATTTCTGAACTAAGTTCATAGACAAAGACTGTGACTTACAGTTACAGGGCAAAATCAATGAACTAAATAGGATGAACAAAAGATACATAATCAATTTAATCTTCTCAGTATATATTAAAAGTTGATCCAGTATCATAACCATTTGCCAATTCCAGTTCCATTGCTCTTTCTACAGTGGCATACTTCCACTTGCACATGGCTATCTTCTGTTGAAACAGTCATTCAAGGGTAATCATTCACATTTTTAACTTAAATTGATTTTTTATTATTTTCACTAGCATATACTCTCAGAAGTTATGTTTTTAAATGTCTGGAATTTAAAAAAAAAAAAAAGAAAGAAAAGTAAAACCACTATACATGTGTTTTGTAGCTTGTAGACAGTATTTTGAGAAGTACCCAGGGGATCATGATCTTCTTTGGGAGGTTGAAGGAACTGGACAGTGGCATCAGAGAATACCTATCACCAATGCATTACAGAGAGAAGCATTTAGACGTGCAGGTAAGAATTTTTACAAGTTGATTACAATCCCACTCTAGTTTAAAAAGCAAGTGTCCACTGGTAATAATACACAGTGTGTACAACAGCAAATAACTGGAAAGGTATTCTAAAGTTTAACTGTTCTTGTATATTAACGTTTAGGCTACTAATAATTATCTGAGTGGTTCCAAGGGCCTTCTTCATCTTTTCAACTAATTACTCAGTATCCTAATTAAGAATTGGTAAAGAAGATAGGGTGCTGAACATATAACAAGCATGCTTATTGTCATCTGGGATCCAAGGGCATGGTCTCCATGGGATTCACAAATCCATGAATTCTCTTGGAATTCACAAAATGCAAAATACCTGCTTAAGAATCCTTGTGGGCATCTTTTCTTGTAGTTGTAGTTTGAAGAAAAGGACTCTTGAGGATTGGGTGGTTATTATAAACACATCTTAGGTAACATTATAATGGTTGTGATGATGATGTTATAGCCAAATATGTTAAGTGGGCTTGCTTTTCTTTTTTCAAATTCTTCTAAGCACAGAGGTTTCTCAAAATGAAGTGAGAAAACTCACGTATGAAGACTGTGACTCTGCACCTACTCCCGAATATGACATAGGATGCGGAGAAAACCAGCCCAATGAAATGCAGGTAACTGTAGGTGCACACATTTGTTTCTGAAAGTAAAATGTATTTTTTGTGTGTATAACCAAAAAAACTCAATCCAGCTTATGGTTGTGAATGTTGTAGTCTATTTGGCAAATACTTCTTGTATGTTCTGTAAAAATGGTCTTTTGGAGGAAAGCATAACAAATTCAACAGATTTTCAACTATCATTGCTAAGTTGTTCAGAAATGATAGTGAGCTTACATCTTATTCTAAGAGAAAACAGTGAAATTGAGAAATAGAAATATTCTTTGCTTTAGGAAAAGTGAATATAGGTAAACCTGAGTTGACATATACTATACAAAATAAGAGGGATTAATTTGCATTTGGAATGGGTGCCCATGGAGGATAGTCACCTCCTTTTCATTAAAGGTCTCGAAAGCCAGGACTTATCAGAAAAGTTGTAGGATGAATTTTTGTCTTGATATGGGTTGGACTTGGTGGTCTTTGAGAAAGGTCTCTTCCATCTTCTGAGATTCAATGAATTTATACAATATTCTTATTCAGCATTTGTAAGAAACAATAAATTCTTTTGTTTGTCACTTGTAGAGTCTTTTTGTATTAGTCTGTGCTCTGAGTTGTTCTGTAACCAAAACACAAGTTTATAGTTATTATTTGAAACAAAAAAAGTCCATTAGGAACATATACCTATTATGGCTTTGACACTAAGTTATATGGCATTTGGCCATATGTTTATATAACTGAGACCAAACATTCTGTTTTAGTTTATAAACACAGAAATTCTGTGGGAACATTCCTTAAATCTTTATACTAAATTTTTTATTACGGTAGACTTAGCTTTCCTAATCATTTTGTACTTAATTCAAATGAAAGAAAATAGAGTTCTTGTAGCTTTTCAAAATCCACTAACAATCTAACTTAGGATTCTTCGAAGTGGGGATGTGGACATACATATGTGCATGTGTTGTAGGGAGAAAAAGACTTGCAGAGCACAATGAATTGATAAAATGTATATTAAAAGTCAATAAAATATCATAGCCATTTAAATTATATATGTCTTAGAAGAGGGTTGGGGAACCTGCAGCCTTAAGGCCACATGTGGCCTTTACAATTTGTCCTATAAAATTTGGATTCACTGAAAAGGCTGCACTTGAGGATTTAGAAAGCCACATATGGCCTTAAGGCTGCAGGTTCCCCGCCTCTGACTGAAAAAACCCAAATTGACATGCAATGATACTTAATCATAAAGGTACAGATAAAACAATTATATATAAAATATTTGCAACTGAAGAAGCTCATGTTCCTTGAAGAAAAATATAGGTAAAAAGGTTTGAAATCTAATGTATTGCTCTGTTTTAGGTTGATTCTGTAAGAGGAAGAGGTATCTCAGACACCAGTGCAAGTACATCTGAAGGTAAGAAATATTACTGGTCATTCAGTTGCCAAATGTTTGAGACCTTCCTGTGTTCTTAGCATCTCTTCATTTCTCCTAGAACCTGGAGTTCTTTCATTCTGTCTCTACCACTAAACTATCCAATATGAATTTGGGTCATTCAGTTAATGATCCTGAGCATCTGCTTCCTCTTTTGTAAAATAGATACTTAAACCTGTCCTATTCACCACTACCACCACCACCCCCCCCCCCCGACTTGGAGATATGAAATAATGAAATGGGATTTAGAAGCATATTGGTTATCAACCAGTTTGAGCTAATTTTTCTTTCATTTTTAAAAAAATTACTTCTTGTCACATGGGATGGCTCTCTGGGAGAAGGAGAAAGGATATTTGGGATAACTAAAATGATGTAAGAAACAAAAAACATCGATAAAATCTGATTTAAAAAAAATAGAGATTATGAAGGCGCTGTCCTTGTAAGACAGACCATTATTGTTATTGATATAATTGTGTTTGTTACTTTTGAACAACTAACTGGGCATAAATGAGTAAGGAACATGAGAAATATAGAGTGAATATATAAACAAAATCTAGTTCCTGTATTTCAGTGTATGCTGGAAATGTGTCATCCTAGATATCTACTTTAGGATAGGCTTATTGTCTTTTAGGACTTGATAATACACCTATTAACATTCAAACAAGAACCACTAATTTGAAACGTCCAAAGATTGGAAAGAGGTTTCATGATTCAGAAATTAACCCTCTTCAAGATGTGGATGAAAACACTCCCCAGGCTTCATCTGTGGCTCCAATAAGCAGGTAAAGAACCAACCATGCACTTTCATCATATATTATAGTATGGAGCAAAGTAGATAGCTGGTAGTAGGATTTGGATTTGAGTCCTACCTCTCTGACAGATGCTGGCTGAGTAACACTGGGGCTGTCGCTTTATCTCTTACGTGCCCTAAGATGTCAGCTTGCAGAGCAGATGTGGATCAGCCCTGCTAAGGGGGGGAATTCCTAACCAGGAACTCCCTTCAAAGAAGAATTTACAGGCTTAAAAATATTTTCTTAAATACTGCTGCTCAGTCAGTAAACATTTGTTAAGATCCCACTGTGCGCTAAGCATTATGCTAAGCACTGAGGAATATAAAAAGAGGCAACACACAGTCTCTGCCCTCAGGAAGCCCACAATCTAATGGGGGCAATACTAGAAGAAATATAGTATGTAAGACCCAAATCCACTTCCCAATAAGTCATATACAAATGGTTCTCACAAGCATTATAAACTATTAGTTCTGATTTGTATTTCTTTTATTAGTGGCATATTTCGTGCACCAAATATACTGCTAATAAGAGAAATGCAAATGAAAACTAATCTGAGATTGTACCCAGGAAATTGGCATAGATGGAAAAAATGGCAAGAATTGTCGATTGCCCATACGGAACAATAGGCAAACTGTGTAATCCCAGGTAAAGCTGTAATTGATTGAACCATCCTGGAAAGCTGTTCAGTTAGGTGAAGAAAGTCCCTGAAGTGTCCATCGAGCAGTTCCATTTGTGCATATATGCCCAAGGAAGTCCATAAATGAAAAGAAAGGTTCCGTATATATCAGAATACTTATAGCAGCACTTGTGGTAGTGAAGAACTGAAGACAAAGTCGGTGCCTATCAACTGAAAAATGCTTAAGCAAGGTAGGGGACCCGAATATAATAGAATGTTACTGTGCTTTGAGAAATGATGAACATGCTGAATATGGAGAAGGTTGATATGAACTGATATAAAGTGAAGTTAGCAGAACCAGGAAAACAACGCTTAGAATTACTACAACAACATAAATGTAAAGAAAATAACAACCAAAGCATTGCCGTTGAATGTTTCAAAATTATAATAGTCAAGGGGCAGGTGAGTGGAGTAGCAGTTCTAAAGTCAGGAGGATCTGAGTTCAAATGCAGCCTCAGACATTTACTAGCTATGTGACCCTGGGCAAGTCACTTGACTCTGATTGCCTCCCCCCAAAAATTATGATGGCCAAGCCCAACTCCAAAGAAGAGAGATGAGAACACAGTTCTTCCATTTCCATCTATATACCTCCTCATTCTCTACCCAGGGAAGTCATCCATTGTAACAAAGATTTAAGAAGCAACACGAAAACAAGGAGTTCAACAAAATTAACAATATTACCCAAATCTGATGGTCTGTGCAATTAATTTTCCACATCCATAGTCCGTTCATCCCCACCCTTTCTCCCTAACCTCTGAAACAAAGAACACAAAAGAACATTTTCTCATTTTTCTTTTGGGAGTAAGCTTGGTCATTATAATTTCATAGAATTCATTTTGAGTTTGTTTTCATTTTGTTCTTTCAATTTACACTGTTGTCATTACATAAATTGGTTTCCTAGTTTTCTACTTAATTTACATCAGTTCATATGGTGTTGTTATAAGTCTTTCATGTTTCTGGATTCTTTTTCATTTTTTCTTACTGCACAGTAATATTGTATTACATTCATGGACCACAATTTGTTTTTCTGCTTCTTAATCCATGACCTATCTTATTCGCATTTCTTTGCTACCACAAATGTGTCACTAATAACGTATGCTTTGATGGAAAAGAAAACTGGCAGCTTTAAAAAATGTTGTTTTCCATATCTTCTGGCTCTTGCTTATGGACCTGTTTATCTACTTCAGTGAATCACTGCTGTAGGAGTCCTTTCATTCTCAAGATCCTCTAGTTTGCTTATGATACTATTCAGATTTTCAAAAAATATTTCTGTACTTCATTATGAAAGCAGTTGATAATTTTCTGTGTATATGTGTATATATAAGAATATTAAGATTTAAGCATTTAAGAATACATATACACTCATACATATATATAATTGTGTGTATTAAGTGCTTAAATTTTCTTAACATTCCTACGTGTGTGTGTGTGTGTGTGTATGTGTAGAAAAGTAGAAGTTACCTAATTGACCTTTGCAGTTCAATGAGTCAGCAATGTTGTATGCCAGTATAAGAAGCTAATGAGATCTTGGGCTGTGCTGTTGGAATATGTGTCCAGAATGAGGAAGGGCACACAGCTCCAGAGTACTATGCCCTGACCTCATCTGGAGTATTGTGTCCATTTCTGGACATCATATTTTAGGAACAGTCATTGACATAATAGAACAGGTCAGGAAGCAGGAAACCAAACTATTGAGAGGACTTATTCTCTCAGACAGGCAGTTTAATTGCATTTATCATTTCTTTATGAAAAGCCCCAGATTTACTGATTAAGAGCACTATATACCAACCCACACTTTGCTACATAGAATGGGGAGATATGGCGACAGCCCATGTTCCTCAGAATGAGTGGGTGGACCAGCAGTGGTCAAAGCTATTAACAAATGACAAAGCATTCTTGCTTTTTATAGCAACCTTCCCCCTCTGCCCCCCATTCAACTGGATCCTATTCCTTCCATCAAAATTGGCACACAATTGAGGACAGACAGTGCCTGCCAGGCAGTATATTCCAGGCATTTTTTTGTTAAGTAGTAGAGCTTCCTGAGCACTAACCACTAACCAAGGGAAGGATGGATCTTGAATGAAATGTGCCTTGAAATCAAGCCATTTCAAAGATCAGTTGAGGGAACTTAGGGAATTTTTGCTGGAGGGGAGGGAGAACACAGTAAAGACATAACTGTTATCTTCTAATATTTGAGGGATTATTGTGTCAAGAAGGGAAGGACTTGGGGGGAGGTGCTTTATTGATAGCTTTTGTTTTTATAATAGTAATTTCCTGACTAGTGTGCACACAACTTCCATATACATTGAACCTCCCCCCTTTTAGCATAGAAAAGCCATTTAAGCAAAATTTATCAATATAGACCAAGTCTAGCAATATGTACAACATTCTGCAATCCAGAATATTCCTCTTTTCCCTCTCTGTCCCTCATATCTTTTTTTAACTCATTCATTCATTTATTTTTAGTTTTCAGTGTTTACTTTTATAAGATTTTGAGTTCCAAATTTTTCCCCTTTCCTCTCCTCCCCCCTTCCCAAGATGGCAAGCAGTCTGATACAGGCTATCATATCAAACATATTTCCATATTAGTTATGTTGTGAAAGAAGAATCAGAACAAAAGGGAAAAACCACGAGAAAGGAGAAAAAAAAAGAAAAGAAAATAGTATGTTCCAATCTGTATTCAGGCTCCATAGTTCTTTCCCTAGATGTGGTTAACATTTTCCATCATGAGTCTTTTTCTCCCTCACTCCTGACAGAATGAAGGAAGTATGTTTTGCCATCTCGTTTGAGGGGTCTAGATATTGGTCATTACAGTTACTTACTCTGTATTGTTTTCATTTTTGTTATTTTCATCAGAGTACATATTATTCTGCTTTTACTTCATTCAGCTGCAATAGGATATCCCCATGCTTCACATTTATTGTTTCTTATTGTAATATTCCAATACACTCATATGCTATTTTGTCTAGTTATTTCCCACCTGGTGAATATCTACTTTGTTTTCCTTGTTTTGCGACCCGTTGCTATGAGTAGTTGGACATACAGAAGACTTTCTAAGAACTCACTTCTGTTTAGTTACAAAGGGCCAGAGCTAGGATCAATGTATAGAAGTTATAGGGATTGAAATTTTGTTTGGATCAGAAAAAGGAAAACTTACATACAGAAGTATGGAATGAGTTGTTTTGCTGTAGGTAGTGAGTTCTCTGTTGCTAGAGGATTATAGGCCACAGTTGAATGATGACTTTCTGGGAAGTTTTATAGAAGTGGATCCATCCATTCATGGGAGGGGGGGGTGGAACTACTTGGCTTTTCGTGGCCTTGTCCAATTCTTAAGTTCTCACTATTCTATCACCCTTTCTAAGAAAACAAAACAAAAATAACTTTCTTCCTTAGATTGGAATCTACTGCATGTACATCTGAGAGCTCAGAAGAGTTAGTTGAAGATGAACCAGATGAGAGAGTGGTTGATTTTGAGCAGGAAAAAAAAGATAAAGAACAATACACCCTAGAAACACAAGGGTTGAATAAATCAGTTCCGGAGAAGAAAGATGACGAAGAGGTATGAGACCACAAAATAAAAATCAAAATTATTTTGCTGTTAATAAAATATAATGAAGAAATAAACTTAAAAGTTCTACTGTTTGTAATTATTTATTCATATAGTAAAATTATATATCTATATGATATTATAATATAGATATATAATTCTGATTATCCATATAATAAAAGAATACAACTTAATAAGGGGGCAGAAATAGAGGTTCCTTTATTTGCAGCAAAAAAAGAAAAAACTCCCCAAAACTAAAACCCACAACACTTTACCATGTAAAATTTGAATGAAATCAAAAGATAAATGGGGGAGAGGGTGGTTAATTATACAACTTAAAAGATTTGCTATAGTATTTATTTGAATAGTGAGATCCCTAAATGCATTTATAATATAAGTTAGTTTACAAAATTAAATGCATTTCAATATATGTTATATAAAATTTGAAATACACATCAGAACAATGCACAGGTATATATGTGCGCACATATTCATATCAAACGACAGTGGATATTATTGTAAAAGGAAGTCCTTTCTCCAGAAGAAGGTGTTCTCATGTTTTGGGCTCATAACCAAATCACTCACCTAGGGACCTTAAATCAGACCAATATAGTGGAAAAATACTTTTGAAATATCACTCACAAGTAAATTTTCCCATTCTTATCATTGCCTGAGAGTTCTTCTGAACTCCAATATCATGTGACCATAAAAATATTGTTGTTTTGTGATTCATTAGTTATTGAAATATTGGTATACCAGGTGTTTTAAGCAAATAGATAAGAGCCTGTTTCTAAGCAGCTTTTAAAAATCATGCATTTTTATGCAAACAGCTTTTCTGTGGAATACAGATACTAACCAGCAGACACTTTCAGCTCTCATTGATGTCCTTATTTTGGTGGAAGGAATACGACATAATTAAACAAGAGGAAAGAATCATTTACCAGTTCTCTAGCATGACCTTCTGTCATTACCTTCATCTTTGCCTGTCATCTTCTCATTGTTTCTTCCCACTTAACTTTCCTTATCCCATTTACCCTAACTTCTAGGAGGCAGAGGAGGTGTCAGTCTTATCACTAACTCTTCTACCTGTATTCCTTGGACACCGGATATGAGGGAATGTTGCAGTCTTTCCCCCAGTACCAGCCCTTTCTTCTTTAACAACTTTCTCTTCCTCTTCACCATGTGCTCAAGGCTTCATTATCTTGGGGAAAGTTTTTCACTTGATTATGTTGTCTTTTTTCTTTATTATCCTATTTTTCCTTGTGTTTATTATCAGACTGCTAGAACAAGTAGTCTGTGGTTTCTGTCTTTCACTTTTCCCCATTCTTTTCCTTCTTGAAATCCTGCTTCCATCCCCATCACTCTACTGGTCTCTCATCAGTCTTTAATTTTCAAGTGTAGGCTGCCCACTTATCTACCTTTGCTACCTGGCACAATATACTCGTTATGGTTCTTTTTCCTCTCCATACTCTCTTCCGTCTTTTCAGCCGTCACCTTTTTGCTGTTATTTAACTATGGACAATTTACAAGGCACAGTTTTTCCTGCTTGGTTTGTAAAACCGTCTCTCTTCTTCTGGCCTTATCTAAGCTCTGTAGGTAGCTTCCAAACCTTTGTCTCCAGTCTTGACTGATGTTCCAAAACAAACCATAGGATGATAGAATTTAGAGCTAGAAGGCACCTTAGAAATCCTTTGGTATGGAACCCCTTCATTTTGCATATAAGTAAAGTGAGGCCTACCAGGGTTAAATGAGTAGAAGGGCTGAGTCCTGAACTTTTATTTGTTATGCACGTTATTGTGAATCAGACAGTCCTCCCATTTCACCCTTGGCTGCTTCGTAGATATTTTATATCCTAAATTCAGTTTCTCATTTCTGCCTAGGTGTCTTCAGCTTCCACATTTCTTAACCAAGGCTCAAAATGTTGCTATAATTTTTTTTTACCTCATCTCCTCCCCTTTTTCATCATTTGCTGCTAAATTCTATTATGGCTTTTACTTTCAAAAATGTCATTTGTTTCTATTCCTACTGCCTCTCTGTTCTAGGATCTTATCACTTGAAAGTTGGTTTACTGTAATACCTTAATTAGCATTCTAATCTAAAAGTAGTATGCAGAATCAATTACTTTTTCTAAAACTCAAGTTTTTATCATGTTACTGTCTTTCTCAAAGACTTTTAGTAGCTCCCTGTCACCATCAAGATAAGGTTAAATTTGCCCTGAGTCATTTTTTGAGGCCCCGTTTTGGAGCCTGCCTCCACTTCTCTTTGATTTTCAGGAGGCCTTAATCTCATTTTAGAAATGGGTATAAAATTTACCCTAGTTACCTCATAAGAACATCTTATGGATTAATTAGTAATATTAGATGTAACAAGAACAGCTTATTTTACGTTGAATTAAATTCATCAGGATCGTTCTTCCCTATTTTTAGGAAGATAGTCTGTAATTGTGTATGCTTTCACTTAAAAAAAAATTAATAATGCCACAGGAATCTGAATTAGAACCCCTGAATGGTGAGGTAATGGAAGATACCATAAAGGCCTCACTAAAACCTGAAGAGGACACTACCCATGATGCTTTGGATGGAAATTCAAAATGGGCATCTGGTCATTCCAGTGAAGAATCTGGAAGTCTCCTTGTTCTACCCACGGTTGAATCGACAAAGGCTCCTGAGGATGCTACACCAGATGAGGTAAGGGAAATAACCTAACTTTTCTTTCCTAACAAGGAAGGTAACCCTCGTGTGTTTCTGATGTTGCTGTGGATTCAGAATTTGTATTAACTTATACATTTTAAAGCATCAATTGGCCAAGAAAATAAGATTGGCAGGTGTTTTGACATTTCCAGAACCCACAGAGAATAATAATGCTCTCTTTTCAGTTACAAGCCTTGCCAGTTCTTTCTCTATAACTTTCATATCTTTCACCTTTTTCCAGGGGAGCAGCCATCATCAGAGTTCAGACCCTATTACCTCTTGCCTGGGTTACCATAATAGTCCCTAGTCAGTCTCCCTACTGCTAATCTCTCCCCTGTCTAATCAATCCTTCATGCAGCTGCCAGAATAATCTTTCTAAGAATTGGAGCCAGTGATGTCACTGTCCTAAGCAGAAACCCTCAGTGGCTCTTAATTTACCTTAATTAGCCTGGCATTTAAAGGCTGTCCACAGTTTGGCTCCCACTTGCCCTTTTCTCTTCTTTCTTTTTGGTGAGTTTTAATAATTCACTTCAGTTCAGTCAGCACTTAAAAGATATCTATTATGTATGCTAGGTGTCATGAAACACAAAGACATTATTTTTTTGTGATTCTTTTTTAATTAATATATTTTGATTTATCAGCAATCACTTCCATATGCTTTTGAGTTTAAAATTTTTCTCCCCCTCCCTCCCCACCACCCTCCCCAAGACAGCACACAATCTGATATAGGCTATACATTTCTATTAAACATATTTTCACATTAGTGATGTTGTAAGTAAGAATTAGAACCAATAGGAGGAACCATCAGAAAGAGGAAACAAACCTCAACAAAAGAGAAAAAAAATAGCAAATAGTATGCTTCGATCTGCATTCACACTCTATATTTCTTTCTTTGGATGTGGATAGCATTTTCCATCACCAGGCCTTTGGCGATGTCTTAGATCCCACAAAGACAAATTTAAAAGTCCTTAAGGAGCCTACAAATTCTACTGGCACTGAGCATCTCTTTTTGGTCAGTATGTATAAGACAATGAAATGGGCATCAAATCTGTTTCAGTCAACATTTTGCAAAAAATAAAAAATATTCCATATTTACTATGACCCCTTGACTCATATTTGCCATTTTGTGCGTTGTAGTAAAATTTCTGTTTCTGTGGACTTCCTGCATTAGTTCTAGAGAAATTGCTGATAGTGGGATTCCTTCACCAAGGTCTGCTTCGTGTACTTTGGTCATATCCTGGCTAATGTAGTAACAAAATCAAACCCAAAGATGATCATCATTGCAATGCTAAAATCCATATAGTACTTTACATACAGGGTGTCTCAAAAGTCCCAGTGCTGTTTTGAACTTTAATAGCTCATAAAATTAAGCTTTAATAGCTTAATGAGGCTTTTGGGACACTCTCTATATTATTTCATTTATCCTCATGACAATACCATGATTGTGGTATAGATATTGTGGTATAGATACCTATATCTGTACCACAATCATGGTATTGTTATGAGGATAAATTTTTACAGAGGAAGAAACTGAGAGGGTGAAGTGAGCTGCCAGGATTTCCAGTATTGTTTCATACTACTACTAGCTTTTGTGAACTCTGCTTTCTGGCCAAACTGTCCCATTTCCCAAACTTAGTACCCTATTTCCCACCTCCAAACATCCTCACAGCCATTTACCTTTTCTAGAGTGCACTCTCTCCTCCACTGTTGTCTCTAAGAAACCTTATCTTCCTTTATAGCTCAGTTCAGTTTTGCTCTCCTTTGAGTGCATATCCCCTTCTCCACTTAGTAGCAGCATTCTCTCCATCCTCAGTTTTCCTTATGCTTATTTTTGTGCATATTGAATCCTCCCAATAGAACGTAAGCACCTTGAGGGCAGAGACTGTTCAGTTTTTGTGTTTGCTTCCCCAGCACTGTAATACCTAGTAGATCCTTAACAAATAATTGTTGAATCAAAGGAACAGTGTATTTATGCAAAATAACATGGCTAAAGGGATATACATTTAGTGCATAAAACATAATGAATGCACTAAAATCAGTAATTAGAGACTTTGCCAATTTGGATTAGTAGTAGTAGTAGTAGTAGTAGTAATAATAATAATAATAATAATAATAATAATAATAATAGCTAACATTTACATAGTGCTTACTATGTTCAGGAACTTTGCTAAGCACTTTACAATTATTAGCTCATTTGACCTTGGAATCAGATCCTAGAAACAATCCTGGGAAGTAGATGCTATGATTATTCCCATTTTACAGATGATGAAACTGAGGCAAACATGAGTTAAGTGCCTTGCCCCCTATCACACAGTAAGTGTCTGAGCCTGAATTTCAACTCAAGTCCTCGTGACTCCAGGACCATCGTCATATCTACTGTGCCACCTAGCTGCCCCTGTAAAAAAATCTTTACAGAAAGCTGAATCAAGTTGAATTTTGTTTAATGTAGTAGTACTTTGGAATACTTAGGACAGAGTATGGCCAAGTATTAGAAAGCCTTAAGAGACTAGTTTTTTTAAATTAGGGGGAAATTTTTTTCTTAAATGGAATGTCCTCTGAATATAAATAGGTGCTTGGAAAATGTGTTGTCAGTTTTTAAAAATTTTATTTATTTTATTCTGAACTCAAGAAATAAAACAAGCATTTCCATAACATAGTAGAATAGAAAAAAAAGATGATTGCACACAAAACTGCAAATCTGTTATGTACAACTTGCTTTTCCTTTTAAATATATATAACAAAGTTATCATGTAACTTTTATTTCCTCCTTTTCTTCCCTCTCCCCCACCCTTGCCCTCAAGATGGCTACCGTTAGACACAAATAGGGGTGTGTGTGTGTGTGTGTGTGTGTGTGTGTGAGAAATTCTACACATCTATTTATCAAGTTTTTTTTTTTAGGATAGACAATGGGGTTAAGTGACTTCCCCAGGGTCACACAGCTAGTAAGTGTTATGTGTCTGAGGCTGGATTTGAACTCAGGTCCTCCTGAATCCAAGGCCGGTGCTCTATCTATTGCAACACCTAGCTGCCCCTATTTATCAATTCTTCTGGATGCAGATGTTCTCCCTGCCATCTGGTTGTAAATTTATTTTGCTTAACAAATACTTACTTTGTAGGTAGGGTAAAGATAAACTTGAGCTTGAGCCTACCTACAAGTTCCTTCAAATTATAATCCACATTGGTGAAATGTTACCCTATTTTAAAGAATCAGATTCTGACTTGTTTTTGCGTTTATGGCGGCTCTTTATGAAACTGACATTTTCAGATACTTTTTTTATTTCTCCCTTATATTTCCATTTCTCTGAGCCAGCAGTTTTTTGAGAAAATTAGGATGATGGTCAGTTTGAAGCCTTAGACTCAGAAATGTAGGGGCAAGGGGGAAGGACTGGAGTCTGGCTTTCTAAGCGTCACCAGATTCTAAGATCATAGTTCTTAGAGCTGAATCGATTTATCCATTTATTTAGTGTCTAACTTTGTTCCTTTTTTTTCCCCTAAGGCCACAGATGTGATTGATTCCAAAATGGTGAAGGACAAAAGCCTACATGATGAAGAAGAGAGCCCTGAAGAAAAATCTCTCCCAGCTCCACGAAAGAAACCTCCTTTGGTAGGTTCTGATAGTGTTGCCACAATGCCGAAGGAAGAACCATCTGATAATGGTCTTTCAAACTCTGTGGTAGGTGAAGCATCAGAAGAATCTGTTTCCGAAAATGTGTCACCCAACACATCTTCCTCGTTGGAAGATCAGGGAGAGGAAATGGTCCCTGATTCCCAGGAAAATCCAGCAACAACAACCCTTTCTCAGAGTTCCCCCGTAGTAGTTGAACTTGAAGATATCCAAAATGCAGGACAAAAGAATCAGTCAGAAGAACAGTCTGAAGCATCTTCAGAGCCTCAGGATCATTTCACCCAGTCAACCGAGAAGGCTGCAGATAGCAGTTCTGAGGAGGTAGAAGTTGAAGTACCAGTAATAGACAGGCGGAATTTAAGAAGAAAGGCCAAAGGGTACAAAGGACCCACTAAGAAAAAAGCCAAGCTAGCTTGAATGGTGGAAGAAATATCAGTCTAAAAAATCCTCTTTGTAACAAAGTTGGTGTAGTTTTTTATAATACGACAGTTAACAAAACCACATGGGATAGAGGATAAACACATTTGTTGTTCCAAAATTTCAGGTTGGAATTATTTGTGATGCAATTTTTTTCCCTCTTGTAGGAATCAAGATTCACCATTCTTTTTCTTAATTTTTTCAAGACATTTTCTGCACTATATATAAAAACTTTTTTTTTAACCCACCACATTCATATTTTGGATCACCAGATCAGAGTGTGATTTCATTTTTTTTTTAAATAAAAGATGATTTCATCTTTAGCAGGTGGAGATAAATGGCCATTACTTTTGTTTTTTAAACTATATGATAAATACAAAGGCTGCTGTGGAAGTAGCAAATTTCCACTGCTTATCACAGAAATCATCTTTTGTACTGCAAGTTATACTTTTATACTAAGACGTTTTCATACAAAATAAAGTGTTTCACAATCTTACTCTTAAATAGCAAAATTCATTTCCAAGCAGTTTTTAAAAGAGAGGAGTGTTTAAGACAGCAACAACTCATCTAAAAATATCACTAAAATAGAATTTAAAAGGTAATCATCTTCAAATGGCTAACAGCATGACCATAAAACTATATTAAGTCAAAGGTATGTAAATAGTGTTACTTTGGCTTCTGATTCTAATCATGGAAGCTTATTCTTCCATCCATTTGTGTTGGTGTATAGACACACACACACACACACACACACACACACGCATCAATTCCTGAGTCATTCTTCTATGTTGTGATCTGAGACTCCCAGTGATAGGAGCATTAATCCTTTGGTGTTGGGTAAACAAATTATATTCAAATTATATTAAATTCGTTATTTTGCTATAAATTATTTTTTTGTGATCCCTAACACTTGAATTTATCAGATGCTAAGAGCCTTAAAGGGAGTTTCAGTTTTCACCCCAATCATGCACTGTGTTAAAATTTCTCACTTATTGTGTACCTCATTTTATGACCTTAACTTTGGTTCCACTGGAGTTATCATACCTTTGGTTGTGTCAGGTAGAGATTTGTCCTATGTGTTAAGACAAAAACATTAGGAATTAAGTATTACCTTTGAGTCCATTTATTGAATCCAGTTACCAGCCCATTTGGTAGCTTATCTTTTCCTGATACACTGTTATATCACATGAATTCAAGAGCAGTGAAATCGTTTTCCTGTTATGAGGTCCCTTGGCTTGGTTATGGAACCCTAGTTACAGAAATTTTTTTTCTAACCTAGTGCCCCTGTGGTTCTCAAATACCTCTCTAAGCCTTTGGGATGGGTCCCCCTCTATCAGAAAATTTTCCTCCTACTGCCTTTTTCTGGCATACAATTGTTGGTAGCTGTTTTGGGGTCTTGTCTTTATCCCTCAATGAGTTTTACCCACCTGCCCCATGTCTTGTAGTTACAGAATGGGGCTGACCTTGGTGTGAGCAGGGCTGCAGGATCTATCATGGATGCCAGAGTTATGAACTGTGCTGGAAGCTTCAGCCCTCGCTCTGGGTCTGCTTGTGTCCCATTGTCCTGGTTGAAGGTTTGTAAAGCAGATGGTGTTGTGACTCATGCAGTCACGGGTGACCTACTACTGTCAAATTCATCGTGGGGAGTTAAGACTGTTTCTCACCCCCAGATTGTGACTGAGTTACAAAAAACTTTTCTATTAGAAATGGAAATAGTCTTAAAATATTAAATCTCACATTAATTACTCTTTGATATTATCAATGATTCTTGGATATGCACATGTAGTTTGAAAAGCAAGTAGATACATTAGGACAGGACCCCTTGTATGGTGAATGTGAAAAGCCATTTGGCACATCTGGGTTTAGGTTATGTTTTGATTTTCTATCATTACAAGAGGTACTGGGAAGCTTTCTTCAATATATATTTAGATGATGTTGATTAAACTCAATGACTTTTTACCTTTGGGGGCTCGTATTTTGGAAAGCGAATCCAAAATTGCAGAGATGAGAGATTCAAGGCAAACAAACTATTGGAACTTTTTGGATTTTGAACACTCTGCCCTTTTTCACGTTCACTGTTTGTTGAACAAAAGCCAAATTTTTGGCCACTTATCTGTTTTCTTAACAAATGGTTATTAAATAAAAAATCTTGAAAGATTAAGACTAATAATGGTGTATCAATCAGAGGTAAGCAGCACCCATCCCAGAGTTATGTGGCAATTAAAAATGTTCAAGAGACATAGTTTCTGGGTAATTAAATCATTTTATTAATAAGACCAGCACATTTCTGAATAAGAGGATGGTCATTTGGCCATCTCTCTTAGACCAAAGATCATCATGGTGGTAGGCTCACAGTTTATATACCTTTTGAAGAGTAGGTGTTTACCAGGTTAGGAATCAACCCTGATTGGTTAACAATTAATGAGAGAATGAATATTACAATGAGGAGCTGGACCTGAACTTTGATTAAGTAATTTATTTCTTAAGTTAACCCCAACCTTGGGTAATCTAGTCAAAGAATTTATGTCCCACCCAAGCCTGAGTGGCACAGTCATTTCTCTCTTTTCCCCATTTGATTCTATTGAGAGGCACAGCCTCCTCGAGGAATCACTAACTGATAATAGCATCAAGGGTTTCTAAGTATGGTACTTATGAAGGGAGACAATGTAAGATGAACAGATAAGATGGACAGATGCTGTGACAAAATAAGAAGTAGATTAGTAAATAGACTTTACATATAAAAAGGCACAAAGGGTACAACAGTAAAATACATCTTGTCCCTCTAGTTCTTTGGAAACATCTGATGTAGCTCTCTGGGAGTGGCTTCAAAGCAGTTCTCTTTTTGGTTCAGTTCACTTGTAGAGATGTTCTTCTCTGCCTACAAAATTGGTCTTAATAAAATTTTAAATTTACTTTGCCAATAACCAGGTCAAATAATGAAAGCTAGCTTAAACCTTATGTCTCTATTATTAGAAAATCAAATTTAGAGCCTTTTAGACCAGGCAATTTACAATTTTAGGTTGGGCAGTTGTCATCTTGAGATAGATATAGATATATATATATATATAGATATATATATATATATAGATATAGATATAGATATATATATATAGATATATATATAGATATATAGATATATCTATATATATATCTATATATATATATGAAACTCAGATATAAACAGAAAATTAGAACTCAAATTTTATACTTGGCATTATTCATTCCCCCATTAGGAGGATGAGATTCTGCTCAAGAATTAATAACAAAACACTTTTTATAAGAAGATGGACTCTAATGCAAAAATGAATTCATTTAAAAGTTGCCAGATTAACTTAAGTTGTAACAAAAGGCTCCATATATAAATATATGTTTATATATAAATACATTGAGTGATCAGTTTCAAAACAGTGCGTATCAAGTAAGTAGCCATAAATTACTCTCCTCTAAGGGAATTGGTTGCACCCAAATTCTTGCCTTCAAACAAAACTGAAGATGTTTCTGATCTAGTCTTAATAATTAATAGAATACAGTTGATCCCATATATTTTGAAACATTTAAGGACCTTATTTTATACACACACACACACACACACACACACAAGTAACAGACAGATGACAAGGCCAAATACTCATCTACTTTAGTTGGAGAAGACTACTCTTAAACCTGCATCTTATTATAGTAGCTCAGATGTGCTACAGTATTAACTTATAAGATAAAGATTTAATATTGTGTTCATGCTGATCATCTGACATGATTACAGAAATTTGCCATAAAAGAATTAGGATATAAGGGAAAATGCTTTCCTAACTTCAAGTCAACTCCAGGCAAAAAGTTAGATCGACAGTTGCATTGAGCCAGGCTTACCGTCAGCCAGGTAGGATATTTTCCATTCAAGAGGAAATGTCATATTGGGGAAATTGAGTCAGTTAAATCCTATCTCAGTGCATGCCAAGATTTGTTCTAGCAGCTAGCACCTAGCCTTTCCCATAAGAACTCTACCTGCTGTTCATAGTTATAAACCCCATAGGGTTGCTGGCATCATAGATTAATTGGCTCAGTAACACTCCTTGATGGTCATACCTGGAGTCAGACTAAATAATATTAGTTACAGGGCAGCTAGGTGGCACAGAGGATAGAGCTCCAGCCTTGGAGTCAGGAGGACCTGAGTTCAAATTTGGCCTCAGATGCTTGACACTTAACTAGCTGTGTGACCCTGAGCAAGTCACTTAACCCCAATTGCCTCACAAAAAAAAAAGTAAAGTAAAATATTAGTTACAGCCCCATAGGGTCTTAAATAGCAAGTTATAAAAATCAGGGCATCAGGTGGATTTAGCTCTCAGGAATCACATATCCTAAATAACAAATATTGTTATATAACATGTAATCTTACATTGATAACAGCAAGAGATTCATCATGAAAAATCACAACTTATCTTGATATAACTAGTACTCAGGATAAGTAGATGTGTTTTCATCCCTAAATTCAACATTACACAAATGATTTTGCTTTAAGATGCTTGATAGCAAAGACTTATGATGGATATATAAATATAATAATTCTAAATTGTACACAGAGAACAGATTATTTGAAAAGTTGCCTATATAGTAAAACATTCAGTTATTAACCACGTTCAAATGGACATAAACATAGACTACTGCTCTCAGAATCCTTTTAAACAATAGGGACATTTTAAAGATGACTCTTATGTAGTTTGCACACATTCCTATACATGTTCTAATCTCTGATTAAATAACAAACATAAGTAAAGTCATAACCCATTAAGGTGACACAAGATAGCTCATAAGTTATTACTCTTCACTAATATAACTGACTGTACTGAAATCCTATTCCTTAAAATATAAACAAAAGAGGTTCCTGACTTTAACCTCCAACTTAATTTATATCTTTCACAAGCTTCTTTACCTTTGTCTAATTATACTCATATCATTCTGAAAGAATGCGATACTTCAGGAACTGAATCTTATACATATGACAAGTTGAAGCACTAATGTAACTCAATTTAGGTCATGGAATGACAACAAATTGATATCAAAACAGCAGAATCTTTCCCACTTACAGCTTATTACAGTAATTAAGATGCCTTAGTATTTTTCCATAACTAATAATTTTTTAATTTTTTTTTTATTTTTAGGCAATTGGTGGTAAGTGACTTGCCCAGGGTCACACAGCTAGTAAGTATCAAGTGTTTGGTCTGAGGCCGGATTTGAAATCAGGTCCTCCTGACTTCAGGGCCGGTGCTCTATCCACTGCGCCACCTAGTTGCCCTTTTCTATAACTAATAAATTCACTATTACAATAGTGAACTTCTGCTTTGTCTACCCTGATAGTAAGAATCTGCTGAGAGTTATAAGGAGGGATGTGGTTATAACAGCATCAAAATTGGTCCTCAAAGCCTACGCCACTATAAGTAGCCTGGCACATGGAAGCAGGTGGACAGATTTCTTGTCTGGGAAAATGAATTAAGGATTAAGAATCTTAACTTTCCCAAGGTAACCTCCCTGCCTTATTCCCAAGGACAGATAGAGATAGATATTCACTAGCTTTAGATCTCAGATATCTGTTGTTTCCATTGTGCTCCTGACTTGACTTTTTTTTTTAAAGCCCTCATTTAAGGCCAGTTCAAGGACACAACAAACCTAAGAATGAAACTCCAAAAAGAATATTCAGGGTCCTGGGGGCAGCTAGGTGGTGCAATGGATAGAGCACTGGCCCTGGAGTCAGGAGAACCTAAGTTCAAATCTGGCCTCAGACATTTGACACTTAATAGCTGTGTGACCCTGGGCAAGTCACTTAACCCCAAAAAAGCTTTCTCTTCAAATAATAAAGTCTCATTAATCACAGTAGGTCTGGACACAATAGTTATCAATATCATCAAATTATTGCAATAAAATGGCTCTCAAAATTAAGTAGGCCTTCCAAAACATCAAAAGTTTTTTATAAAAAATATTTTAACTTACACATCTCTTCCTAAAAGTATTTCGCTTTAGTAAAAACAGCTTAATCTCATCCTGATGTTAAAAAGATAATCACTAGACTTCCAGGAAGTAAATTAGTTGGAAACCTCTAAACTGACAGATATTTCTAATTAAGTCTTAAAGCAAAAACGAACCTTTAAAATTGGAATTTATCAAAACTGAGTTGGTACAAATTATGTTTAAGTAACATAGAAAAATTCCCAAAGTCTTAAAAACAAAATGAATTTCTTATCATTACAAATTCCTAAGTAGAACCCCACTAGTCAAAAGGTATTTATAATGGGGAGAAGATTCAGTTTTTCTACACCAAAAAATATATACTCAGTTAAATTAGCCTTATCACAATAACAAAGTTTACCAGGCCTTTAAAAATTCACTCAATATCCTTTTCTTTTTTGTCTATTCCTAAAGTACAAATTCAACCTGGTATAAAATATATCACTAGAAATTAATTCTGGAATCCAACATAGATAGTCAAATTGTGATAGTTCATTTAGACCCCTAGGAAAACACTGGCCAATTGTTGTAAATCTCCAAATCAATTTATACACACACAATTATCTCGATAGGAGACCCCGTTCTTATTTCCTGCAGGACAGATCTTGGCTTAAACCTTGATTTCTAATCACAAGTGGTAACATTTTAATTCCCAAGGCCTAGTACTCTTAGCACTTTAAAAGAAAAAAAAATTATTATCCATAAATTCAAATATTTTTTTTCTCTCTCTAAAAAATATAGTGATAATTCCCAACTCCTATAACTTTTTCCTCTACTTCCTTAAAGAGCCTGATCAATTGCAGTTTCAATTCACATCTGTTTTCAGGTTAGCTTAAAGAGCACTTGACTAAAATAGCCCAAGATTCTAAGTTGAACTGCTGCTTTTGGCCCAGGCAAAGAGACCTGAGGAATTTGATTTAATGCTGGCAGGGTGTGGCCAGTTTCCCCAGGTAGAAACCTTGAAGAGCTTTCACCTAGGTAGTTAATTAAATAGTTGAATTAAATAATAGTTAAATATTTGAACAGTACCAGGAAACATTTAAGATTTTTATATGATAATCATAGATCTTAATCTATATTTTGCCATATATAGTGTTTATGTAGTGTTAGATTTAATAAGGGCTTCCTGCAGATTTATACTGAAAGGTGGGTGGGCATGATTAACCA